CAAAAGAGGACTTTGGAGGAGGCCTTCGGGATATTACGTGAGTGATTGTTCAACCTGCTGACATGCCCTTTTGAGAGACTGCTTTACAGAGACTGGGCAAACCAAAGTCTTTCGCACTTCGAGAAGAACTTTTATCAGGAGCATCCGGCAGTCACTGCTTTGACCCGAGAGGAAGTAGATGATTTTCGTCGAGAGAAGCAGATCCAGGTTCGTTTCTCAGCTCTTCGTCATGGTTCCTGGTCATTTTTAATCCTAGGTGTCCGGAAGAGATTGCCCCAAACCGTGCCGTACGTTTGAAGAAGGATCATTTCCGGATTACATCCTCTCTGTTGTCGAACGTGAATATGGTCCAAATGCCAAGCCAACACCTGTCCAGGCACAGGTAGAATCTTAGAAGAATCATGGTAGATTTCAGCCCTGTACCCTGACATCCCCTCCTAGGCGTGGCCAGTGGCTCTTTCAGGCCGTGATTGCATCAACATAGCTGAGACAGGGTCAGGAAAGACCCTGGCGTTCCTCCTCCCTGCGATTGTCCATATCAATGCTCAGCCCTACCTCAAACCGGGAGATGGTCCTATCGTGCTCATCCTTGCTCCTACTCGCGAGCTCGCCCTCCAAATTCATGAGGCAAGAAATCTCGTTTCTTCTGGCAAAGCTCATTCATGTTTGCCACCGAACAGGTAGGAGTGAAGTACGGGCACAGCTCCAACATCAAGCTTTCCTGTGTTTACGGTGGTGCTCCAAAGGGAGCTCAAGCATCGGAATTGCGGTAAGAATCTAGTCCCCTTTGATATGGCCGCTCACTTCGTATGAAGTCGTGGAGTCGAGATTATCATTGCAACTCCTGGACGTCTAATCGACTTCCTGGAGTCTCGTACAACGAACCTACGAAGAGTCACTTATCTCGTTCTAGATGAAGCTGATAGGCAAGTTGTCTTGATGCCATTCTGTATTCGCTCATTTTTCTCTTTCATAGAATGCTTGACATGGGATTTGAGCCTCAAATCAGAAAGATTGTAGGGCAAATCAGGCCTGAGAGGCAAACGCTCATGTTCACTGCAACTTGGCCCAGAGAAGTTGAGAACATCGCAAGAGACTTTATGCAGGTATCGCACTTTCCTGCTTGTTTTTGTTTGCAACGAAATTGGCCCACGCATGCTGGCGCTGTAGTACGTGTGGGTATTGTATCTCGTTGCTAGATGTTCATGAGGGACTCAGCTGGGCGTGGGGACACACTAGTTGTCCCTGGGTTTACAGGACCTCGAATAGTCATATATTTGTTTTGTGTTTCATGTTGATGGTCCTGAACAGAATGAAACGGTTCGCACTGTCATTGGCTCCCAAAGCTTGAAGGCGGTCAAGACCGTGAAACAATTCGTAGAAGTTTGTGAAGACGTAGAGAAGCCACGCAAACTTCAAAGGATCATGGAGCGCATAGTCGACAAAGAGGTTCTGAAACAAGACTTGTTTGCGGTTTCTGATGGTCTGGAGTAGGGATCAAAGATCATCATCTTTACCGAGACAAAGCGTAATGCGGACAGCTTGACGCGAAACATGCGACAAGACGGTTGGCCGGCACTTGCTATCCATGGGGACAAACAACAGGTGGGCTGTCATTGAGTATTCTTGACCAGAAGATTTCTATGTCCGATGATGATAGTTCGACTTTTGGCTGTGGGTCTGAATTTCTGATGCACAACCGTCGCTTTCTTCTAATTCTGAGGCCATTCGTCTTGACTTGTTTTTGGATGAGCTTGCTTGATACTGCTCTGACTTCCTCTACAGGCTGAGCGCGACTGGGTGTTGCAGCAATTCAAGTCTGGTGCCTGCCAGATCCTCGTTGCAACTGACGTGGCGGCTCGAGGCCTCGGTAATCTATGCTGCTGCGACGCTTGTGCTCCAGTCTTTCATGTCTCTTGAGGGCCTCGATGTGCTTGCCTGCACAAGGCCGCCGACTCCTTTATGGTCATTCAGGGGAGGCAGCAAGCGCGCCTCACACATGCCAACTGGCTCAGGAGGAGAATGTGGAATGGCACGAGACCGTTTTTGCCATCGTTGCTGTTTCATGTTTTCCTCCTCGCCCTTTCGGTGTAATACCGGATGGTCGGTTAGCATGTGTGGGCGAGAACCCCCTTGGACGATTTCACAAGGAGGCGGTGGCCGATGGCCGAGTGTGTCACTTCCATGTTGCATTTCCTGCCTCAGATCATGATCCGCATGCGTTTGTTTGGTGGAATCCATGTGCAATTGCAAGGAATCCTGCTGACCATTGGACGCTCTCTCGGTGCTTTGCACTTGTGGGGCTTCTTATGCTGCACAGACATCAAGGACGTGCGTTTCGTGATCAATTATGATATGCCCGGATGCTGTGAAGACTACGTGCATCGCATTGGGCGAACAGGGCGCGCCGGAGCTCAGGGAACAGCGTACACCCTGTACACAGCTACGAATGCAAAGACGACAGGTAGAGAGCTGTTGAAGATCCTGCAAGAGAACGGACAAGAGATTCCGCAGGAGTTTGTGAGGGTAATCCTTCATCTTGCTGTGTTTGTTACTTTCTTGACAATCTGTCAGTTGGTTCAAACTTTGGGTGGTGGTGGTGGTGGAAACCGTCGATGGGGCGGCGGAGGCGGGGGAGGAAGAGGTTTCGGCGGCGATCGTTACTCTGGTGCGAACAGCATTCCTCTGGGAGGAGCACGACGCTATTAGTGGGGATGTGTCGATACTTCATATCTATTCGATTCTGTTAGAGTTGATTTGTACTTTTGTCTTCAATTATCGTGAACGGACTAAATTGTCCCACAATTCTTGCTTCTTTTGCACGCCAAGCATGAGTCACTTGCAGAGCACGAGTGCAGAGGAGGTGTAGAGAAGCCCACAAGAGTCAGAGCCCACTCACAAGAATCAGCCATCAAAACTCAAAGTGGCATTCGCGAAATCTGTTCATTATAAAACAGCGCTCGTGCTACTCCTTTACTCGTCAGCCTGGGCCTTCTGGAAAGACTCCATCTTCTGACGGATGCGGTCCTGTCTCTGAGAGGCGCAGAGCTTGGCGCGCTTGATCTTCTTCTTGGGCGGCAGCTTCTTCTCGGTCTTGACGTGAGCTGCACATCAGAGTCAGGAAGCAGTTCAACGCGAGCACACGATCGTGCAAAGAAAGGAACAAGAAGCTCAACACAGGACAAGAACCTACCAGGATCCTCCCTGATCTTCTCGTAGACAGACTCCCAGACCTCCTCCATGTTCTCAGCGTTCACATCGGCCTCGTGGTACTTGCTGAAGTGGGTCTTGTAGAGCTCGGGATCCTCCTCCTCGAGATGCTCCATGTAGCCAGCGACGTGCTTGCCGAGGATGTACTCGTGCACGGTCTCAGCAAAGTCCTCCTGGTCTCCGCATGGGTAGCGGCGGACGGAGTGAGGGATGTCGAGTCCACCGTCGAGAGCTCCCTTGAGAGCACCGAAGATGCGAGCACCAGTGCTGGTGGTCTGGAGACCGACGTCAAGGCAGACGCGGAAGGGCTCGGGGTCCTTGCTCTTCTTGTCCTTCTTGCCCTCGTTGTTGGACTTGACGGTGTAGTCCTCTCCGCTAACCTCCTCCTGGCCCTTGTAGAGCTCGTCGAGGTTGAGCTTCTTGAGCACACGGCGAGCGAGCAAGAAACCGGTAGCGTAGCAAGCAGTCCAGTTCTTGAGACCAACAGCGCCGGGGAGTCCGTACTTCAGGGGGAGTTCCTTGGAGCAGGCAGCAGCAAGGATGCGGTCACCCTTGGTGGTGGCCCAGGCGATCTGGCAGTAGACGTAGCGGTTGGAGGTACGGACAATCATGCGGTACTTGGGGGTGTTGAACTTGTTCTTGTCCTGGGTGATGAGCCTCTTCCTCGCCCTGTAGTCGGTCTTGCCTTCCCTCCTCCTCCTCCTCTTCGTCTGGTACCGCTTGAAGTGAGCATTGTTCTTCACGAGCTTCACGAACGCCATGGCCTCTGCAGGATGGTCGACCGGTCGGTCTTGTTCGCTTCCTCCTGCCCCGCGCGTGCCGCTTTTTTTACCCTCTACCCCCCACCCCGTTTCCCCCCACCCCCTTCTGATGTTTCACCACCCTGTACTACCCTACCCTTTGCACATAAAACCCTGCTCAGAACTTGACCTACCTACCCACAATT